ATAATCCATGTGACATCAGGGGTTCAACCATAATTTTACGAAGCTACGAGAATAATTTTTGTGCGCAAAAGAAAAGAAAAAAACGACTTTATTCAACAATTCGTCTCCTCCGCATCACCCTGTAGCGCCATTTTGGAGAGTATCCGCTGGACGTAAACAATGTATGCAGTTCTGTGTCAGCTGCGTCACACGGATACACTGTTTTCGTTCAGATCAAATGACAACAACGTAGGAAACAGATCCGGCGAGACGCAGCTCTATGCAGGGTCAGACAGCTCTCAGATTCCATCAAAAATATCTTAATTTGTGTTCCGAAGATGAACGAAGGTCTTACGGGTTTGGAACGACATGAGGGTGAGTAATTAATGACAGAATTTTCATTTTTGGGTGAACTAACCCTTTAAGACATATAGAGCTACAAAGATTAAACAGAGAAAGGTGACATTTTAAGAGGAAAATCTACCAGAATTTACCTGACAAACTCCTCCTCCACTAGAGACAGACTCCACAGTGTGCGAATGTCCGGCTGCAGCAGTTGAGTCAAACACTGAAGAACTTTCTCTCTCTCACTGTCCCACTGCAGGAGACCTTTTCCGGCAACTTTATCCTTCTTGCGACCCTGAGACAAACACAAAGAGATGTTTAATATGGTGTATACACAAAATCAACAAGCTTAGAAACAATAGTTGTTGCCCTCAGATTACCAAAGAAAACATTCACAGCTGGTGGGCCCATTTTAGGAGATGTGACTCTTTGCTGACTGACACATTTACACACACACACTCGGGACATACTCAAACAAACACACACACACTGTCAGCTGCCAAATCATCCACAAATGTCCATTTCTAAAGGAGAATTGTATTATGCTTGACAGCCAGCATCAATATGGGTGGGCCCTTACAGCAGCGCAGCCAATCTCCACTGCTCTGCCAAGATTACCCACCAGTCAGAGAGCAAGAGAACACAAGATCCCAGCCAATCAGCTCGTATTTGCCTTGTTCTCATCACGGGGCATAGAATAAACCAGTGGTTCTCAATTCCAGTCCTGGCGACCTGAATGGAACCTATAGGCTCCCTTCAAACTGGAATCAGGGCAGAATATCCTGTGAAGTCCACTTTGCAGGGCACTTACAGTCAAATAGAACAAATGTCTGAAGTGATAAGAGACACATACAAAATGTCCAGAGTGGGGGGTTGTGAGGACTGGAATTGAGAACCACTGGTATAAACATCTTATGAATAATAAAAACTCAACATTCAGCAGTACCTTGCTGGGTGCCGTGACGATAGTCTCCCTGTATGAGTCACTCTCAAGTGTTTCTGTGAGTTTGCAAAGAAGAAAAACACTCATCTTCACAGTATTGAGCTGCTGTTTGCGGTCCACGGCTGATAAAGAGCCTGACAAAAGAAGGGTCGGCAGGGAAACCGACAGGCCTCTGACCACTGAAAATAGAGAGCATTGTGATACATTGTGGAAAATATAGTTTCGATTCATTCCAAATAACTACAAGTAATATGACTTGGTGATAAGGAAGTTTGACTATGAAATTCCAACCTTGTATCAGCAACTCCAGTGTGTCTTCTTTCACTGCCACATCCACTGTGCGACAATGTCTAAATGCATACAGAAAATTATGCTTAGACAAAGTCATGGTAACATATGGGGTTAATGTTTAACACAGATCAAAATATTTATTATATTATATTTATAACATTGCTATTTCTTGTTGTTTTCCCCCATCAGTTGTACATTTAGCCGCATTGTTATTCTGATATTGGTTTCTTGTAAGGAATTGTATGGTGTTCTTGGGTTTTGAAACACTCTTGATAGATAAAACATTATCACAAGCTATAATAACTGTTATTATGGTCAACTTGTTTTCATTTGATGATTATTTATTTTTGCTTAGTTTATTTTAAGGCTTAGAAAATTGTATACGGTTCAGGTTTTGTATACATACATTAATGTTTCTGTTGCGTCTACACTTACTTCAAAACACTGTATGCTGTGTCAAAATGTTCCAGGATGCACAGGGGCCCTTGACTTCTAAGCGCTGCTTTAAAACCTTCATAGCAGACAAAAAAAAAAAGTGTAATTACACCAGTACAGATAAGAGTATTGAAATATATACAGTTAAAAAGTGCTCAGCACTTACTGTTGATGTGAGAGGGAAGCTGTTTAGCAGACAGCACATCCTGAACCACATACTGGTTAACAGCACCAGACTTCACGAGATCGTCCAAACAAACCGGTACAACAAAATCCCACGACATCTCTGCACGCCTAAACGACAATCAGTGAATATACACATGCTGATCTGTAAGATAAGCCACCACAGAGTAGCAACAGAAAAATACACACGGCTAAGTTACATCAAGCCCAGAATGTATGCCCTATAAAGGTACGGTCTAACACTTAAACGCATCAACTTGGCTAATATAAACACAACATGTAGAAAAAAATGTTTCCATTTACATTAGACTTAAGCAAAACACGTGTGTTTTGTTTGACAGGGCAAGCTAGCATGCTACGCTAACCACAGTGAACAGACAAATCTAAATTTCTTCTAGGCTACACACTTCCTACGGTTGAAATAAATACTACAACACGTCCAAACACTCACCGTACAAAAACGACAAATTTATTCCCAACAAATCCTAACCAGAAGAACTAATCCGCATGAAGCAGACTGGACTGACTGAACGGTTTGAGTCGCAGCTTTGAATTGTGTCAAAATGTTCCAGGATGCACAGGGGCCCTTGACTTCTAAGCGCTGCTTTAAAACCTTCATAGCAGACAAAAAAAAAAAGTGTAATTACACCAGTACAGATAAGAGTATTGAAATATATACAGTTAAAAAGTGCTCAGCACTTACTGTTGATGTGAGAGGGAAGCTGTTTAGCAGACAGCACATCCTGAACCACATACTGGTTAACAGCACCAGACTTCACGAGATCGTCCAAACAAACCGGTACAATAAAATCCCACGACATCTCTGCACGCCTAAACGACAATCAGTGAATATACACATGCTGATCTGTAAGATAAGCCACCACAGAGTAGCAACAGAAAAATACACACGGCTAAGTTACATCAAGCCCAGAATGTATGCCCTATAAAGGTACGGTCTAACACTTAAACGCATCAACTTGGCTAATATAAACACAACATGTAGAAAAAAATGTTTCCATTTACATTAGACTTAAGCAAAACACGTGTTTTGTTTGACAGGGCAAGCTAGCATGCTACGCTAACCACACTGAACAGACAAATCTAAATTTCTTCTAGGCTACACACTTCCTACGGTTGAAATAAATACTACAACACATCCAAACACTCACCGTACAAAAAAAGACAAATTTATTCCCTACAAATCCTAACCAGAAGAACTAATCCGCATGAAGCAGACTGGACTGACTGAACGGTTTGAGTCGCAGCTTTGAATTTTGCTCAGCGCGCGCCAAAGGAAGTACGCATCACTCCGCCCACTCACAAACGCCACGCCCAACTGATCAGAAGAGGGTGCCAACAGCGCGCGCCAAAAGAAGTACGCCATCACTCCGCCCACTCACAAACGCCACGCCCAACTGATCAGAAGAGGGTGCCAGGGGTTGGATTGAAACTTTTTTAAAAAAGCCAAGTAGGACGTAAAAAGAATGTGGAAATGCTACATTAAAAATGTATCAGATACAGTAATGTGGTAAAAAAAAGTGTTGTAACAAAGTATGAATTACAATAGAATTTACTGACACTTTAAAGAAGACTTTTATGGCAAAATAGGGGTTGGATTGAAACTTTTTTAAAAAAGCCAAGTAGGACATAAAAAGAATGTGAAAATGCTACATTAAAAATGTATCAGATACGGTAATGTGGTAAAAAAAAAAAAGTGTTGTAACAAAGTATGAATTACAATAGAATTTACTGACACTTTAAAGAAGACTTTTATGGCAAAATTATATATATTTTTAAAGTACTGAAATTCTCATTCTCCTCCCTAACCATTTAATTTTTCTCATATTTTATTTTTATGGACGTGTGCTGTGCTGAGGAATATGCTTGTTAGTCCACAAAATAGTTACTTTGGTTGTTTTGGTTTTATTTTACTCAATTTAACACTTACTTTATTTTAGTGTCATCCTGCCGTTTTAAAATAGTTTTGGATCGTTGTATCAACGTTTTGCCAAGCTTCTTGTGTTTTCACGAGTTTACAGGACCATCATTGTTGCAACATCAGTATAACAATGGCAGAAAATTAAAGTTACAAGCTTCGAATGGTGCAGATGAACTATTCAGCAAAGAATGAAGTGTTCAGGAAGCTTTAGAAGGCTGATAGTAGTCTTTATAGACAGGAAACTAAATTATAATGTAGGTTTGATTAAAACGGTGCTATTGATTCTGATATGGAGAACGAAACCTGCAAAAACAATAAATAAATAAATACACAAATAAATAAATAAATGTGTGCATAAATACACGTATTCTTGTTTAAATACATAAATACATAATTATATATGTGATGAAAGTAGGCAAATAAATAATATAAATTGGTGGGCAATTGAATCCGTTGACCTGGGCAAAATGCAAGTAACCGTGATCATATTAACAACAATCGTATGACAAGTGTCCACTTTTTCGTAATTACATAAACGATGTAACGTTAGTGTATGCCAGATTTAGCCGGTGCGGTTAATTTCCCAATGTCAAGCAAACAACCTCTTGCGTTGTATTAAACTTTTATTTTGACATCACAGCATTAAAGCAGCACCTCTGAGCAGCACGCGCTCTAGCGGTTAATAAACAGAACTGCACACATCCCGCGGAATAACATTCCAACCGGAGCTACTTCTCTAAGTTTATGTCTCTGGCGATTCACGCAGGTATGTGTTACTCCGCAGCGGTGACGACCGACCCGACCAGGCTACAATAGTCCAAATATAAGTACTTATTATAAGTGTACCGTAGTGATTCGGAATAAGACAAAAACGCGGTTTGGAAGATGAATTCATGATGTACTCGCTCATTATATACATTTTGCAAATTTTGAACACAGAAAAAGTTACATAGTGCTGCTTTAAATTCCCACTCTTGGCGTCATGATGACCACGCGGTTAGAATGCATGAAAAAAAAAAAAAAACATGTGGGTTGTCTTGTCAAGTTAGACCCAGAATACCGACAGATCTGTTTTAAAATACCCACTAGTAGTTTCTTTTGTTCTTTTATTCGGTGTTTTAGACGCACATGTTTCACAGTAAAACTGATAAAGACATTGACTTGGTAAGAGCCCGGGTTTTATTTTATCGAATTTTATTTTATAATTTTCTATGTGACCTGGTCCAAAGCGTATTTAACCAAATTAGTGTTTCATGTAATCAGTCAACATTATGCAAAGTATTTACAGATCTGATCCAGACACAACTGGGCTTGTCATGGTGTTATACACACCATCACAACAACAAATAGGACAGCAACGCATGTTTTAATAACAAGCTTTTAATAACACGTATGACCTTCATTTCTATTTTATAGCAGGATGGAATATTTTCCGGACTCTAACGCCAAATATAAAGATGTTAATTACTGGAATGAGCGGTATCGGACGGAGGAGAGCTTCGAGTGGTTCGGTGACTTCACTAAATTTAAACATCTACTCAAACAGCACGTGGGAACGGAAGAAAACATTTTGATGCTAGGTAAGTTAGACACTTAGAAAGCAAAATCAGCATTATGAGTCATCGTATATCGTTGTATTGTGTATATTACACAATGGTCAGCAGGGGTTGCTACTGCATTATTTTTGAGAAATTTTTATCTGCCTTAAATAAATAGTTTGAATGAAGATTTGCTTAAAATGTACTCATCCTCAGGCCATCCAAGATATAGATGAGTTTTTTTTTTCATTGGAACAGATTTGTGGAAATTTAGCATTACATCACTTGCTCTGCAGTGAATGGGTGCCGTCAGAATGAGAGTCCAAACAGCTGATTTAAAATATCTCAGAAATCCACATGACTCCAAAGTGGATGAATAAATGTCATGTCGATTACTGGTGAATTATTGAGATGTTTTTTATCAGATTTTTGAATGCTCATTCTGACGGCACCCATTCACTGCAGAGGATCCATTGCTGAGCAAGAGATATAAAATTCTCCAAAGTTTGAATGAAGATTTGCTTAAAATTTACTCATCCTCAGGCCATCCAAGATATAGATGAGTTTTTTTTTCATTGGAACAGATTTGTGGAAATGTAGCATTACATCACTTGCTCTGCAGTGAATGGGTGCCGTCAGAATGAGAGTCCAAACAGCTGATTTAAAATATCTCAGAAATCCACATGACTCCAAAGTGGATGAATAAATGTCATGTCGATTACTGGTGAATTATTGAGATGTTTTTTATCAGATTTTTGAATGCTCATTCTGACGGCACCCATTCACTGCAGAGGATCCATTGCTGAGCAAGAGATATAAAATTCTCCAAATCTGATCAGATGAAGAAACATCTACATCTTGGATGGCCTCAGGGTGAGTACATTTTCAGCACATTTTCGTTTTTGGGTGAACTACACTCTTAAAAATAAAGGTGCTTCACGATGCCATAGAAGAACCTTTTTGTCTAAATGGTTCCATAAAGAACCTTTAACATCTGAAGAACCTTTCTGTTTCACAAAAGGTTCTTTGTGGCGAAATAAGGTTCTTCAGATTACAAAAAGGTAAGAAAGAGATGGTTCTTTAAAGAACCTTTGACTGAATGGTTCTTTGTGGAACCAAAAATGGTTCTTCTATGGCATCGCTTGAAGAACCTTTTGAAGCACCTTTATTTTTAAGAGTGTATTTCTTTAAAGGTATACCCAGCATTTTATTTATTTATTTATTGCCAACTTGAAATAAAGAAACAAGTGCCACTTTGCAGAAATAACATTAAAATGAAGTTCAATGACATAAGCCCTATTAGTCTTCTAGTAAATCTATTTTAATCTACATGGAGCGTGTCACTCTCTCATGAGCAAGACACATGCTGCATCATGCAATTGACCAAACTACTAATATTAATAAGAAAAATCTGTTTTTTAAAACGATGCTTTCAGTCGTGTACAGCAGTCTAGTCACAGTGCAGTGCAATCCAAAACTACTGGTACTGTTGAGATGATAAAGAACCAAATAATAATAAAAAAACTTACTAGGTGTATCTATAATGAGCAAATCATGATAAAATGTGGTTTAAGCATGTATCCTGAACAGTAATTTATTAAACAGTTATTCGTTGCCATGTCTTCAAATAGCAAGGTGGTGGTTGTTTAATGGTTACATTTAGGTTGGTAACATTTTTAGTTAAGGACTTATATTATAATTCTCCTGATATTGGTTATTTTAGCAGATTATTTTTATACTCAAGACAGTACAAGACCTACAGAGATGTCCCGCTTGGGGTATCCTGGGATTAAGTGGCTTGCTCAGGGGCATATTGGTTATGTGGGAACTCCTTCCAGGGTTTGAACCTATGACCATCCTTGCTTTTACAGCTTTTTAAAAGCATGTAACCCCAGATTTCTCCAAAGTAACCTACAAAATATGATGAAAACGTCTCATGGAGAAGCTTAAAAATGATTTCCTATCATCTGGTTGGCCTAGACAAGGAACCTTGGTTTCTTGGTGCAATATCAACATTCACACTTCCAGCTTTTGTTATTTGAAAGATAATGTCTGGTGGACAAACAATGAGGTGAATTATTTGTGTTGAGCATTCTGCAGCGCTGTAACGCATAATAATAATGCATTTACTACATTTACTGTAGCTGCAGTGTTAGTCAGACTCAAGGGGGCAGTATTGGTCAGTTCACTCACAGTATTCAGCTGGTGCTGTATTAGAGATGAGTGTGGACCTCTGACATGCACTCTTGAGGTCTAGATCTGTTCTTCATTGCAATGACACAAGCTCCTGTCCCCCAAGGACTGGTTCAGCTATATCTCAATCCAATTACCAATCAATCAGCCACCATTCACGCACTTTGGTTTAGGGCCCAGTGTGGTTCAATGTTGAGCTTTATTTCATGCATCTTGGATCAATGAAGTGTGTATTTAATGATAAACAGATTTTATTTCATCAGCTCAGTGAGGAAACTCTCTCCCCACACAGACACCCTTTTTGCATCCACATTATGTTTCCTCCGCAGTCCACCCTCACAAACACTACAGCTATACTCTCTGTGACCTTTCTCATCTGGGGAACAGGGCGAGGAGTTCCTACGCACACCCTTCTCTCGTGTGCTTTACTTGTGACCTCTGACAAGTAACAAACGTCTTTTTCTTTATGTAATGCTCCAGTCATGACCCTTTTACTACTAAATTGCTGCTGAATTGAATATTGTAGTTCTTTGTTCATCATATGGTTATGAAATATTTGTTCTCCATTGAGCTCTTTGTTTTTCTTC